CTCCGCAACCTTGGCACAGATATCCTTGCGTAGCTCTTCACTCAATCGTTTTTCTACGAACTTTGGGTTCGTGTCGAGAACCGAAAGAACATAGGACTTTATGTCGCCGTCGACAGCGGTTTTATCCAAACTAAGACAATTCCCTTCCCCAAAGAAACGAAAAATCTCAGTTTGAATATCACCTTCGGGTCTAGTTGTTAGAAGAAATTGTACACTCTCCACGGCGAGTTGCCCGATCCATGGGAGAAGGGAGTCTCTTGACCTGCACTCATCCAAAGCATCAATCAGGATAAATACCCCGTCAACATTTCTTAACATGGATGTAAAGCAAGATTCCAGTTCTACCTCGTCCGGGTCTCTTAAGCCCCTTCCACAGGACTTGTATAGCTCATGAAGCTTTTCAGATGTGGCTTCTCCTCCATGTTGAAAAAGCTGGAATACTAGTGACCGCAGAAGACCATTGACAGATTGTTTCTCAACATCGTTGAAGTCGAAGTAGTGTACTAGGGTGATGGATCCTTCTATAGCACTGAGATCGTCGAGGATTTGTGAGCTTAGTACAGTTTTCCCGCAGCCAGCCAATCCATGGAGCCATAAATGCTTCCGTAAGCCTGCCTTAAACTTCATGAAAGCCTGACCCTGGATGAACCACTGACCAGTGCCATCATGGCGGTGCTTTTTGGCTTTAGCTACGTTTGTTGACGATCTTGGTGGCTTAAGCCAGCGCTCTATCTCCAGGCGGCGATTAGATGCATGCATCGTGTTCACGGTAGCATTCGTGTCTTCCACATTTGTGGTAATATTTTCCAATTCAATTCCGACTACGAAACTATTTAGCAACTTCATGTCCCTCAATCTCAAGTATCCACTTACTTTCGCCAAGTACCTTCGCAAGAGACTTCTCCTTTTGTATTTTGGTTGGTGGAATCTTCTGAAGCAACTCCTTCGCATATGCTGCAGCGGTCATGGCCGCAAATTCCTGCCATTCATCGTTCTTGTGTGTGTCGGAATAGTCGCAGATCCCACGGATAATCAGACAGGGGAAGTGATTCATCAAACCAGCTGCTTCCATCTCAAAGCACAATACTCCCTCCTCCCTGGCTAGCTTATCCCGGATAGTTGCATCCTTAATGAGATTGTCAGAGCTGGCAATGAGACCATAATGGATCATCGGGTCTTGGTCTTCTTCTCCTCGAGCCTCCCGAGCGATGAGGTTTTCTTCACCACAGTTGTCTTTGCATTCTGCAGATTTTGGGGATTCTCGATGAGTGTGGCTTGATTCATAGAGCCTGTCTTTCGCTGCTGAGGGGCGAGCATACCGTTTCTTGAGGCGAGGGTATTTATTCAGTACTTCTTCGATTCTTTCGTTCAGTTCATGCCCGTGGATTCCGTAATTCGCTCTCAGTTCCTTCACAGCGGACAATAGAAGCTGTGGTGGTTGGTTCAATGACCCAGTTAACTGGAACCCTTGCTGCTGTACTGTCTTGCCGCGGTTGTGATGTAGAACTCCCCCTTTGTCTCCCGAAGGGACGCTGACTACGATGTCTCCAAGACGAATATCATGCCGGGGGCTTGGAGCACCACCACCAATACCGACCATAAGCCCAACTCGAATATTGGGAAAGGTTCGTAACATGTCCCTTGCTACCGAGGCAGCTGGGGCTATACCGTACTCGGCTGGTAAAGATGCCACGACAACGTCATGCCTCCCCATTCTCCCAAAGGAATAACAGTTGTTGTCTCCAGGAGCTTGTGCTTCCAGAGTCACTTCGTATTCTTCATCAAAGAAGCTTTTCGCCGCAACTAGCTCTGTTGTCAAGGCACAGATCCACCCAACAGCGTAGGTCGAAGGGTCTGCCATTTCGCTGTCTTTTCGTAGGAAGTTGAGGTTTCTTTAGTGTTACTATGAGATTAAAGAAATGGCTTGAGTTCTTCTAACTGGTCGGAAGAATGGATGTTAAGAAAGTCGCTTGCAAGGGGTCTGACGGGCGCGGTTCTGTAGATATGTTCCAAGGCGGAGCGATCAAGAAGAGGGGATTATATACTCCATGATGAGCTCTAGAAGGTTCTCTGCTTGGTCAAACAAGCATTCTCATGCAAGGCAGCATACAAACATAGGATAAGAGATGGCTCTGTTGGAAGTAATTGCCCGCTAGGCAACGAAGAAAGCAGTACTTGAGCCCAACAGTACTCCCTGCACCTCATCGCTGATAATAAACAGATAGGATACCCCTACAGCTTTTAATCTGTTTGTCGAAGCTTCAATGAGATATCATCCGAATGGTGAAGCGCGCCTAAACTTAGGGGAGACTTCAGAATAGTTGAGGGCTAAACTTGGGTAGCCGGTATACTGCCCNNTTGATAGTCCCCACAGCTGATGGCTGACATCACGCGCCTCACACACGAGGGCTAAACTTTGTCAAATTGAGGCCATTCTCAGCTAACAACCAGCCTATGTAGACACTTGAGACGATAAGCGACAGTCACTTTGCTCAACCTCCAGCCTCTGGTTACAAAAGAAGCAAAATCCATATCAATCGCATAAACCGACTCTATGTTGATTCCAATCAGTTTACGATTTGACACCAGCGACAATCGGCTTGTTGAAGCACATTCACGTATCGGGGCAATTTAAGCGAGCCGCTTGTCGGTTAGTAGAATAACCTCAGCGCGTAAGGCAACCGCAAACCGCATCAATCAACTGAAAACAATCCAGTTTTGTCACCTCCACGAATATCCAACATGGAAGTTGAACAAACAATTGCTGCTGGTGGCACCAAGCTCCCAATCGAGATCATTTTGTTGTTTGTTGAGAATGTGGTTTGTCAGAAAGATGGGGCGCGACCAATCCTCCCCGCATCACATCCCATCACGAAAACACTCGTGTCTTTGACGACGGTGTGCAAAGCAATACATCCCACTGCTAGCAAACTCATCTGGCAAAATTGTCTCTACATTGACAGAAAGTCAAGGCTTCGCAGGTTCAGACGATACATCTCGCAGAAGAGCCTAACCACCGGGCGGTCACCATGTGAAGTCTATGGCTCGACGAGACTATATCTCAGCCCATTACATTACAAGTTTGATACTGCTTCTACTTATGATGCAATCGCCCCGCTTGTTCGCCGTGGTAAGGAGAAGCCTGGTCGTATGAGCGACGGCTCGGACAGTGACATGGAAAGTGATCAGAGTGAAGAATGGACCCATGGATCACAAACTGGGAGTCCTCGCGTATCTCGTTCAAGATCTCCTGTGGATGATGGATATTCTGTATACTCAACGCATAATTGGAGAGAGGCACCAATGCAGGATCTTCGAACGATCCACATTCTCAAAGACGTCCTCATTACTCTTGCACCAGTCCTCAAGACCATCATCGTGGATATGCCTTTGAGAGATTTAAGTCCTACACAAAACAAAGACATCTTGGAGCCCCTCAGACAAGGCTTCGAGGCTCTGGTCAACATCGAAGAACTTATCAGCGTTAAAGACGAATTATACGTTGATACGGATACTGAAGTTATACAACCCCATGTCTTTATCAACTGGCCGAAACTGCGACGTTTATGTCTGTACAACGTCATGGCTGCGGATACATTCTTCGAGGATATGGCCTCGTGTCCGCAATTGGATACGGCTGTTTTCGTACGGCCTGATCTCGCAGATGATGTCAAAGGGGAGTGGGCGGCGGCCTGGGCCAAAATCAACCGCCGGGACACGAGGGATGACCGTCCGGTGTATCAAGGGCCCAAAATCTCGATGGCTTTCTGCGACTGGCCACCCTATCTATATGACTTCAGTAGCAAGATACCTCACTGGCAAGAGGTTGATCCCGACAACAAAATCACTGTTTCGACCGTGGCTACGCATAAAAGATACGATAGAAGATCAAGAAGAAGGGGGCCCATTGCCTCATGTCAGGATTGGATCAGGGATCACGCTTTGAGAGGTACGATTTGGAGTGAAGTTGAGGCCAAGAGCCAGCCTTTTACTCCACCAATAATGTTTGAGGAGGGACAGGTTGAAGAGGACGATGATGAATGGGTTGATGACGACGATGGCGAGGACTGGAGCGACGATAATTCTGATTTATGGTGATAAATCTTACAACTTGAAGAAATTCGGCAGACCTTCACTACTTCAAACTCATTCCGTTGGTTAAAGTGGCACTCAAAAGTCCTGTCAATTTCTCGGCATCTCTCAATCCTCCCTGCTTACTGGGGCTTGTCCTTGGCCTCATCGACTTGCAACTCAAAGAAACTCTCAATCAAGCTCAACGTGATCATAGCACTCGAGAACAGAAGCGAAACCTCATCACCAAACTTGACATCCTCCAACGGATCCCTCACCAACTTCGCATCACGGTCAGCATCCAGTTGTCTCTTGGGCATCTCCTCCGGCAATGGGTGGAACGGAAGACCAGATGGTAGCTTCTGAGGCTCTTGGGGCTTATCACCCGGAAATCCACCAAAGACATCACCGCCTTCTTTGGGAGTGTCGGGTTCTTTACTCAAAAGCTCAATGGCTTTCTTGTAAGCTGCGTTGTCAGGTTCCTGCTTTTGAAGACCTTCGAACATCAGATATACTGCACGAATGACACTCTCAAGGGCGCCGACAATCCATGCGTGGTGGGAAGAGGAGACTTCGCCGATGAGGTACAGTTGACCATAGGCGTTGGGCTTGATGATCTCGGACCACATATTGGAGAATTGACTTGGTCCAAAGTATGCGAAAGCACCAGACATGTTCTCGTCTCTGTACCAATCGTACGCATGATGGTCCTGGTACTGATCCTTCAGAAGAGCGAGAAGCTGATCGTATGTGTAGTCGCTCTGCTTTGAGTGCAACAGCGCAAGATCATGAAGAAGCACAGAGAGGAGCTGCTCTTCGTTCTTCGGCGTCTCGGGTGAGATCAGAGATCCGATGCGCTGCGCATCCTGGCCCCAGGTGTATGAGCACAGAAGCACAGCAGGCTTGTTGGGATCCCAATCCTGGCCCTCATTGGACTCAATGTTGTAGGACGGATACACGCAAACCCGAAGAGGAAGATCAGTATGCGCAATGCCGCCTTTCTTGATGTTGAACGGAGGCTTCTGCCACCACGCAGTCTCAAACTTGATACCAACCTTGCACGAAGCACCATATCCCAACGCCCGAATGGCCTGCTTTGTGCCCCAGAGTAGACCCGCATCCTTGAGATCCATTCTCTGAAGAGCACCAAGCGTTGTACTGTTGAACACAGCAAAGTACTCCTTTTCCTTGACAACCTGGTTCTTGTTGATACGGAGTTTCATCGACGTAAAATCCTTCGGCTTGCGCTTCTTGCGCTCTTCGACTTGCGCGTCTATGGCGACGACTTGGCTGTTGTATTGGACGGGCTGCTTGATCATTTTCGCCATGCGATGCGCAATGGTTTGAGCGCCGCCGTCAATGCACCACCAGTAGTTGGTGGGTTGGCCATCGATTGGTTTGGGAGTTGCAAAGTCTAGTTCTTCAAGAACGCATTCTGTGAGAGATTGGTCGCACCAACCAGTACCACTGAGGAGTGTCAGTACAGATTCAGGGACCCTTACGGACTACTCACTATGTGGCAGACTCGAGCCACTCAATGGTGTTGTAGTTGTACCCCGGGCCCTCGGGAATGGGACCAGAATTGTCCTTGGGCTTGCCCTCCCTCTTTTTTCTGTCACCATCTCCCCTAACACGGCGTCAGTATACTACAATGTCCGCTGGTGCAGTGGGTACTCACGAAGAGAGGAACTGACGAGTGCTAAGCTTATCAGCCTCCATCAGAAGGGCCCAAAGCTTGGTCGTCTCCGGTCCCTTCTCGTCATTCTCCTCAACAGCTTTCTTGAACTTCTCTGCAGCCACCTTGATGAAGTCTTCCAAGGCCTCACTGACTAGGTCTGAAGGGTTCACTTGGAGTAGGCTATGTTATTGTCAGTAGTCTACATGAATGGAGGAAGTCGACGACTCGACGCACTGAACGGGGATCTTGGCTTTATCAGGAAGACCCTCGTTGATCTTGAATGGGTCATTCGCTTCAGCCGTCCAGACATTTCCGACACCGGAAACATCATTGAAGTATGTTGGGCAGACATTGTCCTCATCTCCAATGTAGTATGGGATCAATCCGCCTTTTCCTGGCTTGAGGCCGATGTAATTGAACAGCTGGAAGGTTCTGCAGCATGTGAGCGACCGCGACGCCACAGATTCCTTGGGAGACTTGCCTCTTCATGATGGTGTTGTTAGGGAATCGCATAGCCCCGACATCATAGTAATCATGCTCACCATGCGAAAACCGATGCGTATACAACCTTCCTCCCAGCCTATTCATCTTCGCAGCCTCCACAATGTCGTACTCAATCTTCAGTCCCTCCTTTTCGCACTGCTCATTCAGCCAGTCAAATACCATGGCAGTGAAAAGTCCAGCGACACCAGCACCGATGATACCAATCTCAAGATGGTTGGACTTTCTGGGGACGAAGCCAACACCAGTAAGCTTCTGGGTCTTGTCAAGAATCTTACTGACGCCTTCGTCTTCATGGACTTTCTTTGGGAAAAGCTCGGGATGCTCTTGTTGAGCTTGTATTACGCGCTTGGCTGCGGCTTGGACATCATCTTCGAAGCCTTTTTGGGTGACGTGTCGTGCCCACATGTGCTTGAAGGCACGGGTATGGAGGTGATGTTCTTCAGCTGGGAGAGACATGATGAAGACAAATTAGCAGTCGCAGACAGGCTTGAGAAAGACAGTCTTGTTTGCTGGGGACTTGTGGTCTATTTATGCAGAACTATTGCTAGCTAGTCTGGCCATGGAGGTTCCCATCGGAAAGCTCCATCTCAACATCAACAAAGTGGCTAGCTGAGCCTGGCAATGTGATAACAAAGGATAAATCGACTGCATTGTAGCAAACCCCGCTCCGATTGAGGCTTTTCGTCGCATACCGTGATGAAGTTTCCCCGCAGATGACTGTGCGTCTTCTTACCAGTGCGTTCCATTCAAGCCTAGAACACCAGATCTCACGGGCCGTAGCCGTTCCTAGCGGCATCAATACGAACCAAGGGCCCTTCAGCTCACGGGATAATTGGATGCTGTCCAAATGTGGCAGGCTGGTATGAGACTATTGGCGACTAACGACTAATATGGCTATTGTGTCTTATGTTGGAGTTGGTGATGATGCTTCGTCTCGAGTGCATTAGAGTGCTGAGGCTGAGAATTGAGGGGATGCCTATCCTGTTGAAACATGCAGATACTGTATGTCCGTGGCTTTTATTACAATCTGTGATTGTTGCGAATGTTGAAGTACGGTCAGCAATGACATATTGTCTGCATATTGGAATGGTCTTGAGTTCACCGCAGTTTCAGTCCGGCATATCGATGATGGTAGAGGCTTACATATTGGTTGCGGCTGAAGCATCTGACAAGATGGCACGCAACATCATCTGCCTTTCCAGCAACACGCTCCATCAGTCTCAATCACATTCCGAAACAGGCATATTCATTACTACAACTACTCAGCCATACACCCTACAACTAGTCGCCAAGTGGGTAAGCATGGAGGACCTGTCCATGGAACAACGTCGCATCCTTCGAAGCCAAGAACACGTAACTCGGCGCAATCTCACTCGGCTGTCCAACTCTTCCCAACTGCGAATTCTTGCCAAATCCTTCCATCTGCTCTGCCGGCCGAGACGCTGGCTGCAGAGGAGTGTGCACAGGTCCTGGCGCGACAGCGTTGACTCTGATGCCTTTCTTGACGAGCTGCTTTGACAGCGATTGTGTGAAAGAAGTAATAGCGCCTTTTGTGGATGCATAGTCTACCATGTGCGCTGTTCCTCTGAACGCAACGGTAGAGGTCGAGTTGATGATCCTACTCTGTCAGTCAAGCTCACACAATGAGGTGAAGACTTACGAGCCGCCCTTTTCCATATGATGAAGCGCATACTTCGTCATAGCAAAGATCTGAAGAATATTGCTCCGGAAAGTACTCTCCACATCATCCAGATCAATGTCCTTGAAGTCCTCACACATAAACTGCTTGCCAGCATTATTCACCAGGACATCGATCTTTCCATACTCATCAACGTGTTTCTGGACTGCGTTCTTGCAGGTCTCGTTGTCCATGAGATTTCCAGCGAAGAGAAGACATTTGTGGCCTTCTTTTTCGACCATGCGCTTGGTCTCTTCGGCGTCTTCTTGTTCTTCTGGGAGGTAGACGATTGTTACGTCTGCGCCTTCGCGGGCGAAGAGGACTGCTACTGAGCGGCCAATACCGGAGCTTCAGATGTTAGTTGTGATTGTATGTGTTGAGGAGTTTATCTCAGCTTACTCTCCGCCGGTGATAAGAGCTTTGGCGCCCTCGAGCTTGTTGGCAGCTCTATACTCGTGGAATTCATTCTTGCCTTCGAGTTTGGTCGACTCGCTTGTAGGGTTCATGGCCTTTTCAGTTCTGTGATCAGATGTTACAAAAGCATTCGACACAGGTCAATTGATCGCGTGCGTACCCGGGAAGCTTCTGAGCCTGAGCCTCAGATACAGGGTCAAATGAACCATCTTTACCAGCTTGAGACATTGTGAACAGAGTATTCAGTCAATTGATACACTTATGCTGTATTCAAATCTCAGTTTATGAATGAGTGAAGAAATTGAATGGTCATGACATGTTATTTATATCTCTAAGCAATGATGTCAGTGTGCAGTACATCCATCGAGATTGTCCAGCCCCATCGCGGGGTTACTCAGTGCATCATGATGGCATCACGATTTAGACGAGCCAATTGCTTGTCCAACCTCAACAAACCTTACATTAATCAACAAATCTTCCAAGCCTAAATAACGTCAAGGCCTGTAATTGACAACAGATCCAAACGTATCGGATTGTCCCCAAATTCCCTCCCTCAAACACGACAACTGCACAATCTGCGAATGGTCCACAAACAAATTAACATCAGTCCCAAACTCTCTAACATACCAATTAAACACTTTCGGATCCGCAGCCTCAAACATGACCTTCTCCTGCGGCAACTCCCTCAAAATCTGCTGAATAACATCCGTCCTCCAACTCTTGACATTTTCTGTGATGCCCTCGCTCTCAATCATGATACGCTCCACTCCAGCGTCGATGAAGCGTTTTCCCATGTGGATTATCTTGGAGGGATCAGATGTCCCTAGGGATGAGAGCTCGGAGGCTTCTGTGTCGCCACCGGCGCCGAATTGAATCCCGCATTCGGGTTTGGCGATTAGACCGGCGGAGTGGACTTTGTCGACGATGCGAAGCCAGTCGTCTTGCGGGATGGAGAGGAAGCCTGATGAGATTTCGATAACGTCGAAGCCGAGTTGCTTACACTTTTTGAGGTATTGGTCTACGGCCCAGACGGGGTCAGATTGAAGAAGGACGTGCTCCATCCATCCGCCCTGAATGTGGTCAGTAATGCTTCAGATAGGCGAAGAGACTTACGGTAGAGACGTAGACGTTGTACTCGTGAGCGAGATTGATGAGCTCCTTAAGCTTGTCCTCTGGGAACAGAGAGAATGAACCACCAGCGAACTTGAGGCCATCTACATGATGACCCATTCTAAGCCTGTCAGTACTTTTATTCTCACATGAGCAGGTAAACTTACGTCTCAAGGACATCCTGCAGATACCGCTTCCCCATCACAGAGTAATACGGTCCCCGAATCTCAGTCACTCCAACAGACCTTGGCTTTGGTGGACGACTATTGTGACGAATAAACCCGAAACCTTTATCCTTATCTTCCAACAGAATGGGAGGAGTCCCAAGTCGAGGGGACACTGAGAAGGGCCTGATACCGGCCTTGGGGATCGCAGTCGAGGCTCGCCATACTGGACGGGCGGCTTTGAGCAAGTTGGCAGGCGACATTATAGTATTTGTGACGAAAATTCTCTAGTCAAGTCTCTGATAAGATTGTTCTTCTAGTATCTCAAGCTTGCGCAACATGGCCCCGGCGGTTTCTTAAACTATCACGTTGTAACATGATATCATCATGATGCACCAGTGAGTTGCTGGGACTGTAACCTCAACATGAGGTTTTACGTCACATCATCTATTTGCCGAGGGTTTATCACGCACAATCTTACTGATAATACAGTGGCCGGTTGGTTCAGAACCGATCAGAAATAAGACCCCGTACTACACGGAGCCCAGTCGCCGGATTTGTGGGGACCCTCCGGCCGTCGCCGCCGGAATGCAATACGGAACTCGTTTACCTTCTTGTGCAAGAAAGACCAAGCTACTAATGTGTAGATACCTGGTCCATGCTATCTGGTCGTTCCTCTGTCCCTGTTTTACGCCGCACCATCACCGACAGGTCAATCCGTAGAGTGAACATAGTGTCAGTTAGCACAGTAGCGTTTAATAACTCATCTAGCCCTCTTGGCCAAGTGGTAAGGCGTCGNNTTCGATTCCAGTACGGGGCAATACTGTCGATTACTTTTGCGTATCATCACAATATATCATGATCTTTTTGTAATGACTCCTTGTCGTTGGAATAAAAACTTGCCTTTTTGGGATAATTTCCTTTTTAGGATGCACAAATGGCGACGGGACGACATGATTGCCAGATTATACCTTGACTTCGGGTGATTGCATAACGGACAGAGAAGGGCAGTTCATGATTTGGTCCGTCAATTGACTTGATGAGAGGGATTCCGTGGTCTTGTCATATTCGAGTAAGGCATCGCATTGAAGCATACAAGTAATTGAACAAAGAAACAAATGCGCATTGGTATCCATCGTTATGCTAACCCATCATCCATGACCCAATAATGCCTCCATATATCAACGCCCAAATCATCATCACAAAAGAAATCCTTCATACCGTAGTATCCTATTCCTTTCCCAAACTCCATGCTTCCTTCATATCTTCATTAATCCTCCACATCCGCCGCACACCCCTCATCATCAACCCTCTCCTTCTGCTTCTGCTTCTTCCTCATCTCCATCGCCCTGCGCAGTTTAATCGCAGTCTGTATATCAACCTTTGCATCATCCGCCTCTGTAAGCCCATACTGATCCCACCCTATCTCACGAAGATCAATGCCCAGATCAGCGAGGGACACAAAACCTGGTGCGACGGGGGCATCACTCTCCCAGAATGAATCAGAGTCTTGGTCTTCAGAGGTAGAGACCTGGCGTGTTCGGCGGGGTGTCGTTGTGCGACTGCGGGATTGGCGCGTGCGGCGGGGTGTGGACTTGTTGCTTCGTGTGCGAGGGCTCTTTGGGCTTTTTGGCGTTTTGGGACGTTTGGAGATTGGTGAAGGGGGGATTATGG